TGCGTCCACGCTGTTTCAATTACGTGACAATGTGGGATAGGGCGTGCTGCGCTCGCCAAGCTTTTTGCTACGCCAAGTATATTCATGGTGCAATTCGAACAGTTTGAGGCTGCTTTGGAGGCTCTGGGGCCCAGCATCACTTAGCACAAGCCTCGCGATAATGCCAATCCAAGCCACTGATTTGACGACCAAACGCATCGCTGCCACTGCGTTGTCTCAGGAATCTTGCATCTTGCGTGAGAGCCTTGGCGCGTCAGATGCCTTTTGCCTAACTTGCAAGACTCTGAAGCCGGTCTAGCATCGTCGAGTGCAGTGCATCTAGTGCGTCATCGTCTCCACCGCGAATGACAGATCCAGCACTGTGTGCGGGAAAACAAGCGGTCAGGACGAAGGCAGCAGCACAAGTAACTCATCTGCACAAGCTGATATGCTGTTGACAAGTTTAAAAACACTTTTCACCGCATCCTGCCCTGCTCGACATGCTGCAAGCCTGGCCCTCTTTCCAGATCCCGCTGGCACATCCGGATGTTATAGGTTCGCATCGGTTCGCGTATATGTATATATGTAGATAGTGCTGAAACACAGAACTCAGGCTCCACATCTCTGACACCGGACAATCGAGCGCCGGACAGCTTGCGCGTGCCTTTGTGAAGTTTATGATCCTGTCTCCGGCCAGGCAAGGAACTGCTCGCTGAGAAGCTGTCGTTGCCGCGGAGTCTTTGCCTCAGTTTCGACTCACACACTCGCAAAGCAGGCATGGCGCACAACGTCCGACATTGCTACTGGGACATGCCAGAACCCCGGGCAAAACTGACCAAACCAGAAACTAATCCAACAGCACAACACACGGCGATAACAGTCAGTTGAAAACCCAGCGGTATGGCTTGTCCACCTGTCCACATGGTCACCTTGCACTGGTGTCATGCAAGGGTACTCCTATTTCAAAAGATTGTCGATAGGACATAGAAGATTGCAAGTACGGGGTCATTGCCCAAATTTCACATAGCAAGAAGTGGACACGTAAAAGTCATGCAGACCGAATGTATGTACGTCGTTGAGGTACGTCCCCAAGGCAGATGCGCAATCAGAATTCCCATGTCGTCATGCAGTTGCACAGTCAAAATTCATATATCGTCATGCAGATACATCATGCTCAGACAGACGCAGGCCACTGTATGTCGCCCCTCTAGCGCAAGGGTGCTCCAAATGGTCTCAATGCCAGATGTGACAGGCGCGTACTCATCCCTCAGTTGGCTCGGTGCCGTACTTCCATCGCCGCCACCAGGCATCACTGACTCATCACCCAGGGTTGCAGTGTGAACACAAGCCAAGGCCCGGGTCTGCTGCCCATCTCGCAGCGGATACTGTACTGCACTGTTGTCGCCACCATAGTCGGCTACCCCCAGATGGCCACGGGTTGATCACTCTGCAGGGCGGTCATTGCACCAATAGAGGCTTGGATCTGCCTCTCGTTCCTCATTTGTTCCCGCACTTCAACGTCGTCGCCGCCATGGCCGGCATCGCCCCAACTGTCGACAGAGTCATCCCCCAGGACGGCAGCAAGGACTGTGGTGGGTATATGGATCTGCTCCACATTCCTTCGCAGATCCTGTACTTCACTGCTGTAGTCACCAAGCCAGCATCACCCCAGGTGACGACAGATCATCGCCTTCCCAGGATTGCAGCGAACGCATGAATAACGCCTGTTTTTAGCTCGAAAGGAGCTCTCGCTCGCTGTGGCGGCCCGTCGACTCATCCATGGCTAAGAGGCGACACGATGGAGGGTAGGGTTGAAAGTTGGGGCATGGGGGCAAAGACAACCAGAACCCAAGACAATCCTAAGGAAGCCCCGACCCAAGGACCTCAAGCACAAAGAAACCGAGGGCAGCAGGACTTCGCAGCAGGCGACCCCGTCAAGCATGTATGTAGGGTGGGGTGGAGTGGCGAGTACAAAAGGTTTGCCGGAGGAACGATGGAAGGGCCTTGGCGCCGATGGCGATGCCATAAAGATTTATCACCGTTTGCAGCCACGCTCATCTTATTGCTGCTCAGATGTTGTCCAACGCAGCGACGGGGTAGTTAGCATGTGACACACAGTAATCACCAGCGGTCCGTCATCCTCTCCGAACCCTTGGTTTGCCTAAGAGCGCATGCCTTTCCGTCGACTGTTTTGCTTTGTCGCCCACAGTGTCCAAAGTCGTGTCGTCGCAAATGACCCCTACATGGCCAGCGACGCTCTGGGCAAAAATATAGGCTGTACTGTACTGCAGTCCCCTGCCGTGCTGCACAGACCGCACGGCAATGCTGCATCGACGCTCCTGCTTCACATGATCTGCGTGGTTGAATTAAAAACGAGAATTCATGTACTCATGCAGGTGTCTGCATGCATTCATGTATTCTTAGTGCACGCAAGGCAGTGAAGACGTGCGCCCTCATGTGCGGAGCAACAAGCAGACTCCAAGCAAATGTACGGTGCATAAATGACCGGGCGAAGGGCACAGCGTCCAATCACTTAGCCTTAAATTCCAGGGCGGGCATGGACTAGTAGTCGACAGCATTAGCAGAAACAAACACCAAATTACGCCAAAGGAACAGTTAAAAACAGTAAGCTCTGAACCCAAACAGCTAAGCTTTCATCCCAGTCACGGCAAATGCTGCAGGTGTATACTACACTCATGTACACGGTGTTCATGCAACATGCAAAGAATTCAGGCATGCAGCCAAAAGGCTCTCGTGGTGCACGTGACATGCTGCGTGCAAGCAGACATCGTGGTGCTCGTGCAGTGCAGAGTCATGCAAGACATGCTGTACATGCAAATACTACAGGCAGAACATGTCATGCTACGCAGGAGTCTCAAAAGGACCTAGATGTACCCCATCGCTGGTATACTCGTAACGGAAGAAGAACTAATCAAAGGCAAGTAGAACAGCTGTTACTACACATGTTCAGCGACGGGACCCGTAGGGAAACGCAGGGGGGCCAAGGACCTCGTCTTCAGACGTCAGGACCTCCCTGCCGTTGGACAAAATCACTCGCACCAGGCCACCGCTTGTCGTGAGTGGGATGCGCGAGGCCAGGTTTATGATAGAGGGTGCCGCGGCCGCATTTGGGGCAGCTTCCTGGTGTGTCGGACGCACCTCAGTGACTCGTGGCTGCCTCAGCTGGTCTCGGACTTCGCGCAGATGGCCGGTGGTCTCTGTCGCCTGGTTCACCAGCTCCGAGATCTGGTTCTGCATGTTGCGGCCTATTTCGACAGCCTCCGTGACTCCAGTGGAGTCAAGAGGGCGGTTGCCCATCGCTGCACCCATTGTAGCCACCGCCTGCTGCAGGCTATCCAGGGCCTTGGTGTTGGAACGTAGCGAGGATTGCCAGTCCCGCCCCAGTTGAGCCGTCTCACCGATGATCTTGTTGGTGTCACCCTGGAGAGAGCCAAACTTCTCTCGAAGCATGTTCTCTATCCTGTCGCAGTGTGCCATGAGCTTGGTACATGCCTTGTCCCACGCCACCACCGTGGCTTCCACCTTGTCCAAGGCCGCCTTGATGTCCTGGGGTGCTTTACCCAGGTCCTGCGCAGTTTGCTTGAGAGCCTTTTCGACTCCATCCAGCTTCTGGTTGAAGTCGTTGTTGATCAAGTCAATCCTGCCTTTGACACTGGCCTCGAGGGCGTCGAATCGCGTCTTGAGGGCACCATCCAGGGTGCCGAAGCGGCCTTGCTCCGTAGTGTTGGCGTTCTTCATAGCCTGGGCCAACTGTGTTTGCAGGGCTTCCACTTCTTTGCCAACGGCTCGAATTTGCTGCCCATGGATGCCCTCCATGTCGTCACGAAGAGACTTGAGTTGTGTCTCCATGTCAACCTGGTACGACTCCAGAAGCTTCTGCAGGTGCGTCTTGGCGTCATCTGCAGCATGGGGGCTAGTGGCAGAGTCTTGCTTCCCTACTGCTTCACAAAGAGGTTGCAAAGCCGATTCCAGCACTTCTGCAAACTTGTCTTCTGCAAGCTGGCTTGCAAGTGAATCCATCACCGGTTGAAGCGACGTCTGCAGGATTTCAGGCAGCTGTTCCTGCAACTGCTGGGCAAGTATCTGCCCCACCTGTGCCTTCAGCAAGTAGTCGCCACCGGGGGTGGAGGAGCGGCGGAAGCATGACATCAACGACACAAAGCAGACTGCCCCGATGCCTGCCAGAATCATCTGTGGCGTCAATAACTGCATGTGAGCTGGTCCCATAGCCGCCTCAATGACTGTCATTCCCGAATCCATGAGGGAGAAAGGCAGAGGCTAAGGTGGGTCCTAGGGGGGACGGCTCGAGCTGGCCAGAACCTGCCCATCACAGCGGATGTACTCCCGAGAAATCAAAACATGGTGCACATCATCCTAAGGCCTGTTTATTTCGTGCCGTCCTGCCCCCCCCTCATAATCGCCATGTCAGCTTCCCAAAGTCGTGGCCGCAAAGGAACTTCTGAGGCACCGACCGTTCATGTATAGGCACGTGCTGAGACTACTGTGACTGAAGCATGTTTTGAAGGAATGTATGCAACTCCTGCTCAATGAGTGACATCGAAGTGCCTGGGTATATTGCATACCTTCTGACACCGCGGCCCCAAGACGTGGGCTGGGAGCATTTAATGCTCACTGATCCGATCTGTACATGGACCTCAAATACGGACAGAGAGGAAGCCTGTCATGCATCTACGTATCTATTTATCATGTACATGCAGTAATGCCCCTAAATTAGGCAAGCACAGGTGGTGTGTCATGCACATGCAAGGCTCACAAGGACAAGGCAGCTCACGGCATTGGTAATACATGCACATGCACGGGCTCATGCATATACGACGATTTCATCCACCCCTCCATCACCACACGACGAACGCGCATTCTCATTTCATCCATCACCTAAGACATTATGCATCTCATGCAGACAAATTATTAAATTCGAAATTCAAGACTTCCTATCCAAAAGCGGCTCCGCTTCTCATCATGCTACTTTCCCGTCGAGCTCACGGGTTGCAGGGCTGTGGTATAAAGAGCACATCGTCCTCTTCGTCCGAAGAGGAGAGGCACACGTGTACGGTCTGCGTCGAGGACTTCAAGGCACCTGCCGGCCACTGTCGGCGCGTTGCATGTCTCGCAACGAAGCCATAGTCCGCAAGGCCCTTTTGTATTTCCGCAGCCCCACGCCACAATGAGAGGTGGCCTTTGGCTTCGTCATCGTTGTTGGGGACCGCAAGTCCCAGTATGCGTAGGGATGCCATGTCTTCATGTGATAGATTTTGCCATCCTGCCGGAACCCATCCTAGAAGCAATGTGCGGTCCCTGCCATCGGTGGTCGACGCATGCCAGAGAAGGCGTGCGCTAAGTCGGTACCTTTTGCCCGCAATGATCCGCCCCAGTCTATTAACGCCATCGGGGCACATCATGGGGACAGATGTCCCTCCTGGCGCATCCGGCGACAGGTTGCATAGCAGCGTAGGCAGAGCGGAGTTGCGAACGTCCTTGTGGGGGTCCATGCATCTGTTTCTCTGCAGCTGTATAGTCAGGAAGGCATCCCCTGGGAATTCCTGCGTAAGGTGCTGTGCCAAGAGCCTGGTGACTTCGGGGTAGTCATGAGTGGCCGCCCTCACGCCCGACTTCACCCTGACGTATGCCCCAGTTGTGAAGGGCTCCTGCAGACTATCCAACAGCAAGGTCGCCACTCTGTATACCTCTTCGTATCCCGGTTCCCCATGTTCTAAGTACTCCGCAGCTAGTCTTTCTGCTTCCATCGGAACAGAGAGCAAGCACCTAGAGTCAACGAAGCAAATGCCTGAGCCGAAACTGCAACTGAGATAGGCGTGATCTACCAGGGAGCCAGGTTCCAGAGAGCATCCGCTAACTGTCTGGCATCATCACAAAAATACGCTTCAGAGAAATCCTGGCTCCTGACCAAGTATTTAGTGTGGTGAGGGGGCAGGTCAATCCCCTCGTACAGCCGCATCCAAGGCGAGTGCGACTTCAGAAGCGGCGGCAGGTATAGATTCTCAATACCCTGACGATCCAACAAGTTGAGAGCCTCAGTCATATCCGCGAAGAGCGAGAGAGCCACCTGCCTATGAAATACAGAGCGGTGCAGGAGCTGCGGCGGGAGGAACACCGCATGGGCCTTACCATGATGGAGTAAGATGCCCCGTACCTTAAAGGCGAGCCTCAGCAGTGTCACACTCATGGCCACAACTGTGGGTTCAGGGGCTAACGAGTGTACAACCGTCCCACGTCCGGCATTGACGCCGTTAGTCAAGAGGACCGCACACCTGCCTTGGTCAGCCTTGCCCCAAATGAAAGGCATGCTGAGTTTGGCAGGCTTGATGGTGTGCAAGGGCGTACTGTATGGCACCTCAGTAAAATCCTTAGAGGGGCGGAGAAAACACTCGATAATGCTCTTCTTGTGTTTGACAATGACTACCTGCTTCTGGAGCAGATAATCAAAGGTCGGCACAGCGTCGTCAGGCACCCAGTGGCTGACCCAGAAGCCGAGCATGATTGGACCACTGGATACGGTCCTGAGCGAAGGTTTCCCAGGCCGGGATGTGCTGGGCCCAGTCCCACGTCTGGTAGATTCGTTGGACCCTCCTTACCAGCAGGTCCGTCGTCCATGATGCGCGGACCTCGGGTCCTGCGTGCGCGGCCCCGACCGCCCTGAGTATGCGCATCATAGGCTGCGCATGCTGGGTACGGGCTAGGTGTCCCAGGTAGGACCATTGCCTGAGTAGCCAGGTTTTGCGCCAGTCTGGGCCACCACTTTGTTTGCAAATTAGCTTAACTGCGCGGCGACGTGATATGACATTGTCTACCCAAGGCATGAGCGCGTCAGTGGGTAACCTAAAAAGGCTGAGTAAAAATGTGTTTTTGGCAGCTTCTATACGCCTGAGTGCCACCTGGTTAGGCATGAGCAGCGGCGCTGCCCACGCCCATTTGGCCGTGATGAACGTCTCAAAGATCAAGAGCCGTACAGATAACGGTGCTTGCCCACAGTCCATTATCCGCTTGAAACCATAATAGGCATGATTTGTCTTTCTGAGCAAGTGCGAGATGGTGAGTTGTGGGCTGGGTGAATGCGAAAGGGGAACTCCCAGGAAAACCAAGGAGGTGTCCACCTGCAGTGGGGTAGCCCTACCTCGCAACCAAATCCCCGGGGAGCTCCCATCGTGTGCAGTCATCGCACAGCTCTTGTCTGGGTTGACCTGGAGGCCTAAAGTCGCAAGAACATCGATGACTTGCTGGAGCTTACTCTGTAGGCTTGCAGGCGAGTCAGCGAACAAGATAATGTCGTCCGCATAGATAATGAAATGCGGAATTGCTGCAAGCTTCGTCTGGTCGCTACTGAACTGCTCACTAAAACGATCATGCAGGGGGCCCAGAAAGTAATCTATGACCCGACTGAAGACATCGGCAGAATATGCAGTCCCTTGCATAAGGCCCCGATGCATGGGGACCACGTGCCTGTGCCCTCCCAGTCCTAATTCAACCGACGTACCATGTAGCAGCTGGAAAAGAAGTTCACACTCCTTAGCAGGCCTGCATGTCATCAGCCATCTGAACACAGCCAGTTGACTGATGCTGTCAAAAGCTGCCTTGATGTCTATTTTCACAGCGTAGGACCTGCCCGTGATCTGCTTCAAAAGCTGTAGCGCCGCTTGCGCCGCCATAATCCCATCTGCGGCTTGCACTCCTGGTCTGCATCCAATTTGGTGGCCCGTGTAGGGCGGGGCCGCCTGGTGAACACGAGCCATAAGCACTTTTGAGAACACCCGACAAAGTACGGGTGTGAGGCATATAGGGCGAAGGTCTTTGGGCTGTTGAGGCCTCGGGACTTTGGGCAGGAGAACAATCTTGCCTTGCTTCCACGTCAGCGGGAGGGGGGCTTCCCCCCGCATAAGTGCCGTAAAGAAAGCGGGTATCCTAGACTGCTGGTCCTGGTTGATTAGATGGATGACCCCCTCATATGTGACTCCGTCCATGCCCGCAGAGACACCATTCCTGGCCCCTTTGAGCGCCTTCAAGACTTCCTCTTTGGTGACAGGTGCAACTGAGGCGCCGGCATGCCTTTGTGCAAGACTATCCCAGTGTTGGTCTGAGACTGGTGCTTCGCACGTGCTGTACTTGTCATCATAGAATTGGAACAACTGTGTGGTTGCTTGTTCTACACCTCCACATCGTTGGATGTAAGACCCCTCTGTCTGTGCGCCTGCAGCACTGGCACGCATGTGTGCAATTGCCCTACAGTTGCCTGACCGAGCTTCATGTAGGAGGTTTTGTTTGTGGTTTGCCTTGGCATCCACTCTCTGCTGGTGTATCTCTTGCATAAGGGCCGCGCGTTGCCAGGTGTCCTGGCTGCACTTGCGACGACGGATGAGATCCTTAATATGGGGCGGATCAACGTACCTGAGAGAAGGAGGTCGCGAACTAACTCCCTCAGCGCGGAAAGCCTGAGCCAGGACATTGTCGTCCCAAGAGCTGAGACCTTGAAGCTGTTGCCACAGCTTGTCAGGAGCAACATGCCATTTACCACACAATGTTCTGGGGGGTCTCTTGCGCGGCACGGTGCGGCGGAAGCGAAAGCGAACCTTCATGCAGACGGCATTGTGATCGGATGGGAGTGCCACCCGAAGGTCCTCTCTTTTGGAGAACGAGACCTCAGCTCCTCTGATCTGGTAAGCGATGAAATCGATAGGGGATTCACTCCCCCTCGCCACCCACGTACTGCCGAGGGGCGGGCTGGTTTGGAGCCCAGTCTGAAAGAGCATTTCCCTGTAGTGAAGCATGCCTACGAATTCGTCATGCACTGCATGCAGGTCCTGATTCAAATCGTGTCCTATAATTATATTCATGTCCCAAGCAACTCCAGTGAGGTGAAACATGAGATGACTGACACCTCGTTCCCACGTCTCAGGGGCATCTCGCCTCTGCTGATGAGGAAAGTGCAGGCTCATTAAGAGCCAGGGCGTGTCATGCATGGTGCCATGCAGTATGATACCAAATTCATGTACATGTACATGCTTATGAACGAATTCCAGATCCAAAGCGACCAAAATCGCCGTGCACCTGTGACTCAAAGAAGGATTCGCAACGAACAGCTGATACTCACGCCCCGCTACAGTCTCTGTATCCACTTTAGAGCTGCCTTCACCCAAGTTCCGGACATCTCCGAGCTCCTGCAGACACAGGACGTCAGGGGGCCTTTCCAGGCCATGCAGAAGGTTGGACACATGTTGTGTCCCCTTGCCGTGTAAATTCCAAGTGTAGCAGTCAATTTCTAACTGCTGCGCAGTGCGTTGTGTGTTGCACGGCTTTGGGGTGCCATGCCACCCAGTGTGCTGTGTATTGCACGACCTTGTGGTGCAATGCGGTGCACTTTGCTGTGCTCCCCTCCCGGCCTCCTATAGTACTCCATAATGCGCAAGGATAGTATCTCTATCTACACCGAGGCACGCCTGCATTTGAGCAAGGTCAAGATACCATCCTGTCTCATTCCCCCGAGCGTCTATGAGCATTAACGTGTCCCCACGCCGTGTGCGGTGCTCGATGTGGTGAAGGACCTGGGTGGTCCCCACCCATACCCGGCCTCGCCAGTCGCGATCTGCCACCGTTGCCCCAACGTGGCGCACGCAGAGCTCGTACGTAGATATGACTGCTCTAACCTTGGCACGTTCTTGGATAGAGCGATTCCTGGCCGCCCAGAAGGAGCAGTTTTCTTGGCCGGGGGCCTTGCTGGCAAAGCGCTGTTCCTTCAAGGCTTGCACGACCACTCCTTGGAGTTTTCGTTGCTTCCAGATGTCCTGCTCTGGATAGTTCAGTTCCACACGGCAATACCCACATCTCACATAAGGTATGTAGATATTCCTAATCAAGGCACCCCCGTCCATGCATGCAAACATCTGTCTGACATCTTCTTCGATTAGTTCTCGTTTGCACTCATTCCACCCTCCTACAACAATTTGCATCTCGTCGACGTCCTGCTGGGGGCGGTTTCCGTATTCCGAACGGGGGGTGTGGGGACCAGTTCGGTTCGGAGCCGGGCTGACGCTACGTGTAGGAGGAGCCGATTTGAGGATGTTTAACTCCTTTTCTAATTCCCGAACCTCATTCCTCATCTGTTGCAGGGCATGGTCCTGCGCATCCGCTCTTCTGACCAGATGTTCCTGACCGGTGCCAAGTTGCCTGATCTCAGACTGCAGGTTCCGAAGGCTACGGCCTGAATCCTCCAACTGATTTTGCATGCCTACCTGCGTTTGAACCAGTTGCTCAAGTTGCACTCGGAGGCTTCCTACCCAGGAGGGCTCATCTAAGTCGAATCGCTGGGGCCCAGGACCTGCTGCGGGCGGGTTGGCCCCCGAGGGCCGTGCCGAGGCCGGTGCTCCTAAGTCCGTGACTGCAACCGCTTCCTGGGGGCCTCCGTGGAACAGGGGAGGATACCCTCCGCCGCCTCCTGCGCCTCCGAAATGCGGTGCTCGCAGAGAGGGCATCTTAGAGCCGTTGGCAACCCTGGCCCTTTTCTCAGGGCTGGCTTCATGCAAATTCCTGATACTGTCGAGACTATGATTGCCATCTTCCGGAACTGCAACCTGATGCGAGGGAGGATTCGGGACCTCCAAAGGTGGTCCCAACGCTGCAGTCAGGGCAGCTGCAGCCGAGTTCGCATCATGCAACAGCTTAATATCACTGGGGCCATTGTTACGCGGTGGCATTCTGTGGGACGGCTCTCTCTCCCTAGCTCTCCCTCGTCTTCCCTCGTCCACTTCCATGGGAGGAGGGCGCTGAGAGTTGTCAAGCACCGTTTCACGAGCCCCCCCTTCATCTCCAAGTCCCCCACCCACCCCAGCGGCAGGCTCACGTGGCATAAAGGCCTGCATAGGCAGGGTAGATTCGTCCGTCATGTCGCAAATGGCAGGGAGCAGGGATCAGGGAGCAGCAGAAGCGCACGGTGCCAGGGTCGCAGCAGGAAGAGACGTGAGTGAAGCAGCCAGCAAGAGGTCCCCAGGTTTTTGCAGCGTTTTAGGGGTTCAGGGTTGAATGCCCTAATCCTGATAAGTTAAAGAAAAGGATTAGGGTTTAGGGTTCAGACCCCGCCACACCGTATCAACACAAACCCTTCTGCTAACAGCTCAGATCTCTAACCTAGTCCAGCCCCTTTTTGAACGAGGTCTCTCTGAGCCACTCTTGAGCCAAAGTTTAAGTCCGAAAGTAAGGGAAATGAAACTTACAATCCTTGCTGTTGTCGCTGCATTTGTGCTTCCTATTGCCATCCTTCCCTTTTGCTCTTCACCGGGCGAGATTATGCAACACTGTGACGGACGCTGAGGAGGAGAAGTGCAGTTTCATGCTGTTGTTGCAGCACTGGCAGCAGTCGGATCGCCCACAATCGTGGTGTTAGTGGCGCAGAAGACACAGCAGTGATCATCGTTGTTGTTGTTGCGGCCCGGCAGTAGAAATAGAGTGCACAATGGCGCGATGATCACTATGATGATGGAACTGGTTGCCCTGTCATCGTCGAGAAACCGGGAGGTGCTACCTGCAGCTGCTTTCGAATGCTCCTGAAATGCTTAAAATAAAAGAAGAGACAGCCCTGGAATTGGAGGAACGGTTGGCAAATTGCACGCCCGGTGGCCAGCTCTGAAGACTATACCGTACAGTATATACCATATCACCGCTTCCACCAGGAGCCGTGCGAAGATCCCGATCCGAAAAGTCTTCGAACTCGAACTCTCAAATCAGGGGACTGTGCATGTCGTGCATGTGATGGGAGCACTTCTTCCGTCTCAGTGCACCACTAACTCGGTACGAGGGGCTGACTTGGCGTCCGAATTCATCGCTGCATGGCAGAACACACTCTTCGCTATGCTCGAGGACGTGAGCCTGCTTGCGTAGCCACGCTCCTCGGTAGCAGCCGCTTTTGGTAGCATGGCCTTTCTTCCCCGCGCAGGCCGCTGAAAAGTCATGACAAGTACAGACCGATCCACACGGCATGCACTTCTCGACCGTACCAATCTACTAACGGTAACAAAGTCGTATGACACGAACTCCCGTCAACATGACAGAAGAGCATAGATCGACCACGAAGAAAGAATCACCCTGCTAGGTCTACGAGCTAAAGAAATCTGCAGGTACGCGTCGTCAAGCAATCACAACATCACAGCCCTAGCACCAACCGCGAGGTCAATGAAACAGCGAAGCTACCAACACAACTTCCGGCTTGCAAACCAGACGCGGATGTCGCTCATCATTCGCAGCATGTGCAACTCGACGATCTCCTGGTGAAGGGATTAAGTCGTGAGATCGTGCGATTTGAGGATGCAAGAGTTCGATGAGCTCGGGTGGGAGAGGATTAAGCTCCAGATTGGGGGGTTCCGCCTTAGATGTTCGGCCAGCGGCAAGCCCAACATCCCTCTGTTGGAAGTGGAAAAAACAGAAACAGCAACATCCAGCCACACGGCGGCTGTCCAAAAACGGCCATGCTTGTACGACGATGGCGAAGCAGCAGGCGAATACGCGTGATGACGTAATACAATTGTAAATAGATGAATATATAAATAAATATATGTGTGTGTAGGTATATGTATGTATGTATG